AGAGAGAGAGAGAGAGCGTGTATATCGAGAGTGTGTTTCCTCGGCAGGTTGTGTCACCGACACACGTAGGAACGTGGATTCCAAGCTTACTTCGGATCGTGCTTCACTTAGGTGGCGAAGGAAGGCGAGATCGAAGGAGAGTAGAGAGGCAAAGCAGAAGGAAGTTCGTGGCCCGGTTTCGAGGGATCAGTGAAATGGCCTTACGTAAACAAATCTCGATCGATCTATCCAGCCCCCCCGGCGGCAGGGATACCTGGAATGATTTTACGTGACGACGAGATACTTACTGGGTTTTCAGGCCGGAACGGAATATATATATATATATATATACATACGCTACAGCTCGGCACCAGTTTCTCCATTTTATCGCGAATCCTGCGATGCATACACCGGCTCATCTCGCGAATTCTGAAGCTTCCTCGATGAATGCGCAAGTAGCTTGATTGCTTCTGTTTTCTTCTCTTTTTTCTTTTTTCTTTCGAAAGAAAAAGCTTCGTCATAACCATCAACCTTTGTTCTGTCGTTGCGCGACAATGCGCGTACGATGTAATTATCCTTCGTAGTTTGAAAAACGATGCTTGATCGTTTCAATCCGAGGATAATGGAACATGGATCCTGCCACATTCGTACAGTCTCGATTAGGAGCTTCATTTCATTCACAGTCTACAGTCAAATAATCGACGATCCAGGAAACTGGATCAGATACAGAGTACATCTAAGTGAGGCCATCGACGACGAAAAGAATATTTTTCTCCTAAGGCGAATAGCCTTGAAGGACCAACGACGTACTTGGCAAGAACATGTCTTTCCCGGAATTTTCATGGTCGTTGATGTTTCTTTTCATACAACATGTATCTTCTCCTATCGCATCACCGTATAAACTGGTGAAAAAAAAAAAAAAGGTAACGCTCAAATATGTGTAGAAATCATGAGCTTGAAAATACGTATGAACTTGGCCAAGACAATCAAGTTGTCCTGCTTATTTATTACGACATCAGTGAGATTCAATTTTGAACAGCTTGAAATCCCAATCATCGTATTACAGTTTACAAATCTTGTCAGTTATTCATAATGGAATGCTCAACACGAGGAAAGATACTCGTTTAATGGTAAAAGTGGCCAATGTTTGAGAGAAGCAATTCGAGCGTGATTACGACAGAGATAAATTTATATACGAAGAACTTCAATTT